CAATGTAGACTGGGCTCTAGTTTGCATACTAAATACTTTATAGCAAGTTTTGCAATCGCACTTACATGGTGGCCCCCCTAAATTGTCGCCCCCCTAAATGGAGAATTGTCTCCTTCAGTTATCCTTTGGTGCGTTTAGCTTGAAATTAAACCGGTCGCATTCCATTCCTTAACAAAAACTGTCATACTTGGTCGGATTTCAGTTTTCTTAAGGCTTCTGTTAAGTCTCAACGAGCTCCAACTAATTTGGTGCCTTGGTCAGACCTGAGCTGGCGGATTGGGCCTCGTCTGGGCAGGTTTAAGGTCATGCTGCATCCTTGGTGATTCAACTTTTGATGGTAATATTGTGGTATCAGTCTGGTGACATGTCCCTTTCCTGGAAGAATAGCCAGGTGTTTAATGTGGTAGGGGAGGTTGGACAGTTTTATGCGACTGCGGCCCTGAGTACGCCATCAGGAACAAGGAATGGTCCAATTGGTACAGACAACTTGTTCCCTTCAATGACACTTTTAAATTGCTTCCCCTTCTGTTTGAAGTGCCCCCTTGGTGTAAGATTCTCATTTCTTCAGAGAATGCTTCTTCTTGAACCATCTTGAGAATTGCTGATTCCGATTGCTGAAGCCTTCTACTGTCAGTCGCTTGCGATTTTCTTTGGTCGTAGTATCGGGATTTCGTTTCATGCAATGTTTCTTCAGCCGTTCCTTTAACCTCAGGCAATTTGCAACAGCTCGTTTAGTGTGATGCCAACAAGAGAAGTAATAACACGAGGAGCAAACAGAGGTGGTATCTCGAATCTGCTGCACTCTGTTTGCTACGAACACTTGAAAACAACGGGCGTCGTTGGGGATATGGCCCAGGGCTACTTTACTGTCTGTCCAAAATTATGACATTATCGCAGTCAAGCTCGTCATGCAACATACAGCTCACCTCCATGGACACCAAAGCACCTGTCAATTCCAGCCGAGGAATTGTGATTGGTTTCATTAATGCGACCTGAGATTTTCTCATCCATCACGAATGCGCAGTTTACTTCATCCTTATTGTTCACTAAGCGCAAATATGAACACTGCCCATAGCCGTGTTGGAGAAGTGGTGCATCTAGATTGTCTTGGCCTCCTGGAAACCATTTGGCACTAAGTATCTTCATACTTTAATGTCCTTCAAGAGCGGAATGTCACTTCTCCATTTTTCCCACCTTCATTTGATCTCATCCAGGATGGGATACTCTTTAGCAACAAAGCCGTGACAAAGCCAACCGGGCTGTATATTATTATACAGTTGACAATATATATGCTGCAACGTGTCAGGGGCTTATCTTGTAACGTTATTCGGAGTTGAAATGAGTCTGATTCAATGCACCAATGCGTTCCTAAAGTTTTATTCAACAGGAAGGCAATTGTCGGTAAGATTGAGGTTTTTGAGACCTGTTTCTTGATCTTCAGGTGAGATGGTTTCGAGCACTTCCTTTGAATTCGAGACGAACTTGTGCAAGCAAAGGCCGCTTCAAGCTAACGATTCTTTTGTGTTGTGGATCAAAGACACTGCTTCAGGCACTGTTTTTACAGACTTTAGTCCATCATCAACATCCGAATTCTTCTGCATTGTTTTCTGTGATTTTTCTCAACCCATAATTGGCACACCTGGTGAGGATATTGCTCCAAATAAATGAACCGTTATTCTGAATTCTGTTGGGGTGGTTGTGATCCGTTTTCCCACCAGATAAATCTCAAGTAGTCTTGATGCTCTTCAGTGACATGAAATTGATGGAACATACTTTCCACATTGCACAACAAGAAGGCTATAGGGACCTGTCCAAATCTGCATAACAGTCCAATGAGACTGTTAGTTAGATCGGGACCTTGTAATAGGTGATTATTCAGCGACTCTTGTAAATAGCTTGCGCTACATAAAAAACTATGTAAAGTTTGTTGGGTTTCTGTGATGGGGAATATACCAATGCTGTTTTTGCTTTGTCTGGGCCTTCATTAGCAGGACCTTGCTCAGCATGTCCCTTGTCGATCAGCTCATTCATAAAGTTGTTGTATTGTGCATCTCTTTCTAGACGGGCCTTGAGTCATTCGAGGCGTCGCAGGGCTAGTGGCTTATTATTGGGTAAGGAGAGGTTTTTTGCGGAAGGGTAAAGGCATTTTGTAATGACCGTTGTCCCTTTGATGCATTCCCTGTTTTAACTGCCCTATGAACTTCTTGTTGTCTAACAATATTGGTGGCTCCTTATTTCTTTCTTAGAAGTCGGATTCCACCATTAAGCATACTTGTTGAGGATTACTGACTTTTTTCACAACCGTCTTTACCACAAAGGTGCAACCTCTATTGTTATCTTTTGGGAGGTTTCTTTTAATTCTGTGAGTGATGGCCATAGCATCTTCATCTTCCACGCACAGACAGGGCTTGTTCACATTACCAATTATGCCCCCCAACCAAGATCAGTTTGCTGCACGTAAGTCTCTTTGCCGTTACCCAGAATGACTTGGAGAGGTGTGATTGGGCAGGGACAGTTGGCTCCAATAAGTAATCCAACATCAGGATGGTAGGGTAGTAACTCTGGTACAATTTTTGTTAGATGTTGCCATTTTAACGCCATTTCAGGCAATGGGATCTGATTTCTTTTTACTGGTGTGGACGCACAGGAGAATGTCAGCGGAAGCTGAATCTTTATATTGTGGTTGAAGTCACTTATTGTCAGCCCGTTGATCTTGTGACTCTGTATGAGTTCGCCGTCTGCATGCATGGTTGAGAGTAAAAGTTGAGTTTTGTGTCCATCTACACCAAGGTGGTTCAGAATACTCTGTGAGTTAAATGTTGTATCTGATTGGTCGTCCAAAAGAGCATACACTAGGATCTCGTTTTTGATGTGAACTGGATGGTCAAATTAAATGGGTATGATCATGAAGCTATTTCTCGATTGGCAGTCATTAGCAGCAGAACAGTTCTTGTTACAGGGTATGGTTTGGGTTTTTGTCTGAGTTTTATCTTGCGTCGGTTTTGTTTCGTTGTTGTTTACCTTGTAGTCTCCATGCAGAGACATTGGGTGTCCCTTTCCACAGGTGAGGCATTTCTTCCATTTCTTGCAATCCTTGGATAGATGCCCTCTGAGTGGCAGCACTCTCTCCCTGATCAGTAAAATCATCTGTTGTTAGAGTAAAATAATTAAGTAGGGTGCATCTGGGCACATCGCCACTTAAAGGGTTAAAATTCTGAATGCAGCCAGTTTGAAACTAACTTCAGGGTTCAATTTTACTTGGTTACCTTATGGTTTCTCAACATGGGCCTTTTACAAAATACATAGTTCATATATTTAAAAGGTATCTTACCATCCCTTCAATGACCACCCTTAACTCATCTTGGAAATTAAGAGCAGCCCCATTTGCTTCTCCAGGTGTCCTTTCAATATAGAAGAGTTTGTTTGATCTTCTTTTCACTGCTTAATGAGATATGATCTGGGAAGTTCATCTCCTCCTGGACAACAGGACAGTTCATGGTAGGAAGCCTCATGGATGCAAAATTTGTCCATGATATGCAAGGTCTCCTGAATTTTTTGCTGCTCTTCAGTGGGCAGATCTTTGTATGATTTTCTCCCTTTTTCTCCGAATGAGAGAGAATACGGTTGCCCTAAGTGATCAACCAATTTAACTCTATCTAACTTTAACTTGAAGGATTCACTGAACCACAATGCCTGTTCAACTTGGGTTTCCAAGGATTTGAGCTTGCGTTCTTGCAGCCGATTTCCTATTTCATTATTGGATTTCCCTTTGTCCTCAAAGTTTCTTTGAGGGGAGATTTTTTCAATGACATTATATAAATTTTCATTTTCTTGCTTTAATTTATCTAAGTCCACTTAAGCTTTATCAATTGTTATCTGCATTTTGTTTACTAGTGTTGACGTCTCGTTATTATTTGAAGTTTAATTGGGCGTCTTGACTTGTAACCTGTGCGTTGGCCCTTTCGAGTCGTAATATATTCACGTAATATAGACACTCACCGTTTGAGCTGTTACAAGTTTGTTCTTTTACAAGTTTGTTCTGTTGCACAGCAAAACTTGTAACTTTTCCGAGCAGGTCTTCCCATTTTTCCCCCTTGTCCTGAAGATTTTCTGTGCCGTCCAGAGCAATATTTCCGCAAATTCTCCTCGATTCTGGGACAGTTCTTGAATTGTCGTGGAATATCGTTTACATTGAAATCCATTCAAAATTTGCACATATGAGTATTCGATTAGTACGCTTTGCTTGGTTAGATACCAAGAGTTTAGTTGTTCCCAAGGCAGCTGAATTGTGAAGGGAATATTTTTAGCTTCATCGCCTAATTTTCGAATATAGGGCGAATTCGACCAATTTAATAGGAATTATTAAACAAGTATGTCAGTAAAGTACACATTTTGTTCGGAAACATATGCTTTGCTCAAATAAACATCACAGATCTTGAAGTCATCACTTGGTGGGGTACAGCTCTAAAACAGTTGTGCAAATTTGAATTCTTATCTAAGTAATATATATATATATATATATATATATATATATATATATATATATAATTGCGTTATGGAATGCCAGACAGATCAAACAATGACAGAGTCAACCAGCCAAAACAGTCCTGTCTAGGACAAGACAAACGAAAATACAATTGCGATTGAAGTCATCCACGAAAGCACAGACAAAGATCAAAAGAGTCCAAAAGAAGTCACGAAGTATCGTTGAAGCACTAGAGATATATATACACATATACACATATGTATATATGTATATATGTATATACCCAAAATACACAAAACTAACATTCCAGGTCGACCTATTATCTCCAGTTGTGGTGGACCAACAGTCAAGCTTTCTCAATATGCTGACCATCTACTCAAACCACTCCTACAACACATACCATCATATGTCCAGGACACTACAGACTTTCTATGCCGGATATTTGCTCAGAATAACACACTACCGGACAAGTTCATACTTATTACTATTGACGTAAGAAGTCTCCATACCAACA